GGACTTCAGCGAGAAGAGCGAACAGCGCCATCCTCGGAAAACCTCTGGTTCGTCTTACAAGCTAACACCACCACCCTCGACGAAGATGGACGACCGCGTCCTTACACCCGCGAAGTTTACCGCCGCGAAATTGACCCGGCGTGGAAAGATCCTGACGCACCAGAGGAGCTCAGCGTCAAGGAAGAAGAAGACAAGGCCAGGGCGGAAAAGAAACAGAAACTGTTTGAGGAACGTGTCGCGGCTGGATGGGACGAGGAGTCAGCACGACGAGGCGCATGGGGTGATGAAGATTACGAACCAGAAGAAGGCGATGGAGCAACCTGGGGATCCGCCACTGGAGCATGGGGAGCTAGCGCCAGCGGCGCGGTCACCACGGGAGGATGGGGCAACACCGGCGGATGGGGAGAAGACGAATACGCGGATGCTCCGCTCACCAAAGAAGAAGAAGAAGAGATAGAGCGCGAGATGAAAGCTGAGCGTGGAGAACCATCCCCTCGTGTCGCCATTCCACTCGGACGACCCCCGCGCACCCGCTCACCTCCCTCCTCCCCCTATCGGTGGCGTGATCGATGGTCGGAGATTGAGGAGGGGAATGTACCGCCAACTCCTCCGCGGGACTCACTTGGTCCAATCTCCCGCCCAGATCCGTTCGCTCGATTCATTGAAGGTACCACGACTCCGCTCACTATCATCCCCGACCGCGAATTCCTCGCCCTCTACCTCACAACGGCACCTGCAGAAGGGGAGACAATGGGGGAAGCGGAAGCAGAAGCAGAGGAGCCGAACAACGAAGCGGAACCAGGAGAAGAGGAAGAACCCCCACTCCAGATCCCGCAAGTCACGGAAGCAGAAGCGGCAGAATACCGCGCTCGCTACAAGCGCACTTCCGGCATCCGCGCCGAAGATGATCTCTGGCACCAGCGGCTGGGACACCCCTTGCGCCAAACCCTCGCCAACTGCCTCCGCGCTAAAGTCTTTCCGCCAGGAGCACTGCTGCGCCCCGACGGAACAGAACCGCACAACACCCCTCACCCAGTCACTTGCACCGTCTGCCCCACAGCCGCTCTCTCTCACAGCGCCTACCCCTCCCTGGAACCGAGCACCAACCGCTAAAAGAAGTTGGAGAAAGTATACAGCGATTTCATCGTGCTCACCTTCGACGGCATCAACGGCGAGAAATATACCCTCACCTTCATCGACGCCAACTCGCGCCATGTGTGGATCGCCAACGTCGACGCTCGCTCCAAAGCTCCGGAAGTGTTCCGCATCTTCCTCGCGCACGCGCAGCGACAGTCAGGAAGGAAGCTGAAGATCTGGCAAAGTGACGGGGCCAAGGAATTTCGCAGCAACGAGCTGGAGAGTGTTCTTACAGAGAAGGGGATCAAGCATGAGATCTCACTCCCCTACGCTCACCAGCAGCAAGGCGTCGCAGAGAGGGTTAACCGCACCCTCATGACAAAAGTCCGCGCCCTCATGAACCAGTCCGGCCTGCCCAAGAAGTTTTGGCCTTACGCCATGAACCACGCGGTGCGCCTGCACAACCTACTCTCCACCACCGCCAACAGGGACAACCTGTCCCCTCACATGAAGTGGACCGGCTCAAGGGGAGACCCCTCCATACTCAGGGTCTGGGGGTGCATGGTGCAATACCGGCCGACCTCGGCCACAATCGGCAAGTTCGTTCATCGCGCGCGCTGGGGTATTCACTTGGGCCTCAGTAATGAGCACAAGGGTTGGCTCATCCTCGACATGGACAGCAAGGAGGTTGTTCCCGCGCGCGATATCCTCTTCTACGAGCGGCTCACCTTAAAGCAGTGGATCGAGGACGAGCGGCGCAATGAAGCACGTGGCTACGTCAACAGTGGTCGCAGCTTCGCGACTCCAGAAGACGAGGCAGCAGCAGCAGCACTGGATCGCGACGACACCGACGAACACCCCAGCATCCCGCCTCGCCCGCGCGACGACGACGACGATGACAGTGACGATGATCCCGCGCCAGGTCCATCACGACGCCAAGCAGAGGCAAGCACCACAACGCCCGGCTACGAGAGCGGAGATGACGACGTGGTGGAAGTTCCCACCAACACAGACACCACCAATGTGTCCGGCCTACAACTACTCGGCCTACACACGTCCGTCACTACTCTCGCACGGGCCGTGGAGCCAAAGAATCCTCGCCAGGCTCTGACCGGTCCTCACGCCAAGGAGTGGCGTGCAGCGATGGATGCGGAGCTGAAAGCACTGGAATCTCGAGACACGTGGGTCCTAGTCGATCGTGCAGCAGTGAAGGGGAGAAGGGTACTCAGCGGAAAATGGGTTTTTTGCCTGAAGACTAACGCTGACGGAACCATCGAGCGGTTCAAGGCACGCTGGGTCGTACGTGGGTACGATCAGCGCCACGGCATCGACTTCGACCAGACCTTCGCCAGAATCCTACTCGCCATTGCCGCCGCTAAGCACCCACCACTGCGACAGATCGACGTGAAGAACGCGTTTCTATACGCGTTGGTGGACGCCACCATCTTCGTGGAGCAGCCTCACACCTACGGTGAAGGGGATCCTAGGGTCTGTCAGCTGAAAAAGTCCCTCTACGGGATCAAGCAGGCGCCCCGTCTCTGGCAGCAGCATCTGCACAAAATTCTCCTGGAGATCGGTTTCAAGCAGCTGCCGCACAACCCGGGAATGTATCGCCTTCACTTCAGCGGCGATTACATCCTCCTGACAGTCTACGTCGACGACCTACTGTACACGGGCACCTGCAACAAACTCCTTAACCAGTTTGAGGAGAACCTGGCGCAGCGCGTGGACATCACCATCAACCACAACGTGAAGCAGTTTTTGGGGCTAAACATCACCTACGCGCCAGAAGCAATTCACCTGTCAGCCTCAAAGTACGCAGAGCAGCTGGGGGAACGCTTCAACATCTCACCCGCACCACTCTCAACTCCCTACCGCAACCCCAGCGCAAACCGGACAACAAACCTTTGTCACCCGCAGGACTCCATATGTACCAGCAGAAGTTGGGGTGCCTGCTATTCGCCTCTGTCACCTGCCGCCCCGACCTCTCGTACATTGCCAGCCAACTGGCGCAGTATTCCCGCAAGCCAGTAGCTGAGAACCAGCTGGACCTGGAGCGCGCCCTGCAGTACTTCATCTCCACACCTGACATTGGGCTCTCCTACTCCACGCTGACGACCACCTCCTTCAGCCTCAACGGCTACGTGGACGCAGATCATGCAGCTGACCCTGCAAATCGACGGTCCCGAACCGGCTTCGTTTTTCGCTTGGAACCAACTGGGCCAATCTCCTGGAACTCGCAGAAGCAGGAGCTGGTTGCCCTGTCATCGGCTGAAGCAGAATACATCGCCGCGACAGCAGCTGTTCGCGAAGGCCTGTACCTGCAGGAGCTGCTACAGGAGGCGAAAATTCCAACTTCGCCAACCTTTCGCCTCCACTGCGACAACCAGAGTGCCATCAGGATCGCGAACAAGCCAGGTTTCGTGAACCGCACGAAGCACATCGCACTCCGGTATTTTTTCGTCAAGGACGAAATTGACCAAGGAAAAGTTGACCTCGCCTACTGCCCGACTACTGAGATGGCAGCAGACTTCCTCACCAAGCGCCTGCCACGTCAGCAGTACAAGCACTGCTCTGACCTCACCGGAGTAGTCAAGCGAGTCAGCTCCTCCTGCGCCCAGGAATGAAGGGGAGTGTTACGATATGAAATTGCATGAGTAGGCATTCCTGTATGCTGCAGGAGCCGACTCTACCGAGTATGAAGTCGAGGAGTCAGAAGAGTCGAAGCGACGCAGCAACCGTCTGACCAAGACCGATGCAGGCAGAAACATTTGAAGTGAAAAGAGCGGGAACAGGTTTGAAACGGGTTCCCGCGCCGCACGGTTTGAATTTGGTTAGAATAAGGGAATGTACCCCTTAGAGTACATTGCTAGCCTAGGTCTTTTCGTATTCCCCTGTACTCTTATATAAACCCGATGTATGCATGCTTTTATCAACTCAGTCATTTACATTCACTCTGACCTGAGATTCAAACTTCCGCTGCAACACTACTCTGCGATCAACCCTGAGCGATCCTTCGCTAAAGTCCCACTTGGGATTGTAACACCTTTCAAGACTTCCTAGTCTTCTTCTGAACTTAGCTGGTTTTATCCTAATCCTTTGATTCCTTGGTTATATCAACAGAATTGGCTCCGCCGTCCACCCAATTTCACTGGGTCGTTCTTTCCTGGAACCTAGTGGAGCCTTCGGCGACCAATCTACGGTCTGCGTCAGGCTCCTCGTGCGTGGCTCGGCACGCTGCGTACTACCCTTGGTGCCCTCTTCTCCCACTCTTCCATTGACCTTCTCTGTTCTTACGCTCAGGCACAACGCTGTTCCACATTCTTGTCTATGTTGACGACTTGTCGTCGCCATTCCAAACAGAGCCGCAGTGGCCCCATTGCTGTTTAACCCTGCCAAACTCACCCCAACATTTCTTGCATTTCTTGTTACCATTCGCAAGTTACTGTTATGCTCTGGCCGTTGTTCACATTGTATCCTTTTACGTTGCAATCCTTGCTAGCCTCTTCATTTCACCTACAACAATATATATTTCTTCTAACAGAGCACCTAAACCAGGGTATTGCATTTGTCTTCCTGTTTCAGCGGAGAATCGTGCAGCGGAGAACATGAGCTTACGAATCCCCGACCCAGAAGAAGCTTTCGGCTGATCGCACTCCACTGCATTCATTCAAATTCAAGCCACCATGGTGGCACTCGCGTCGTCCTCGCCCTCTCTCCCGGGCCCGCTTCGTTAGTAGTCGTCTCTCGCCTCTATCACGCACGACCTGGCTCGGTGCTTTTTCTTCCCATCTTTCCGTCTTCCCATCCTCCCATCTTCGTCCCATCGCTTCATCCTCGCCAGGCACACCCTTCTGCCTTTCCTCCGCTGCATCTGACCCCCTCGCGTCTCTCCCCACGCTCTCTCACCGCACCGCACCGCCATGGATCTCCTCTTCCAGAAATCCCTCACCGACGTCATCAAATCCCTCCGCTCTGCCCCCTCCCCCGCCGAAGAGGCCAAGATCCTCGCGAAAGCCCTCCGCGATGTGCGGCGCGAAGTTAAGTCCTCGGATCCGCGCAGCAAGGCGGCAGCACTAGAGAAGCTCCTATACCTGCACATGCTGGGGCAGGCGGGCGGCTCGGACATCGCGTGGGCGGCGTTCCCGTCCGTCGAGGCCATGGGGTGCCACCGCAGCTTCGCCGTTAAGTACGTCGGTTACCTCGCCGCCGCACATAGTCTCTCCGCGGCGCCTGACGTGGCGGTTCTCGCGACGCACCAGCTGCGGAAGGACCTGACCGGGCAGCACCCGCACGACGCGTCGCTCGCGCTCTCGTGCATCGCTTCGGCGGCGCCGCCGGGGCTGGCGGCGGAGCTGACGACAGAAGTGGTGGCGCTGCTGAACGGCACGCGCGTCGCGGGGCGGCGCAAGGCCACGCTGGCGATGCTCAGAATCGTGCACCAGCAGCAACAACATCAGATGCAGATGCAGCATCAAAGTAGAGCGAGCGGGGGGGTAGGGGGATTAGGAGAAGCGGGTGATGACGACGAGCTGCCTGCGCTGCTCGCGAGGCTCGCGGAGCGCCTTCACGACAGCGACAGGGCAGTGGTAACCGCCGTGGTGTCGCTGGTGTGCGAATTAGTCCTGCACGAACAACACCAACGAAGCACCAGCAGCAGCACCCCTGTAGACCCAACCCTCCAATCCGGCCCTTCACAAGCACAGCAAACCCAGCAGCAGCAGCGCGCGGCCTCGGGCAAGCCACTACCGTCCAAGTACCTGCCTCTGGCGCCCGATCTCTTCCCGCTACTGCACCCGTCGTCGTCCCCCTGGCTGCTGATCAAGCTCGTGAAGACGTTCGCCGCGCTCGCCGCCGCAGAGCCCCGCGTGGCGCGCAAGGTGGCGGAGCCCCTGGCCGCGCTGCTGCGCGCCACGCCCTCCAAGTCGCTGCTGCTCGAGTGCGTGCGCGCCGTCGCGCTCAGCATGCGCCACGTGGACTCCCTGCGCCAGCTCGCCATCCGCGTGGCCGCCACGAGGCTAGTGGCGAACGAGCCACTGGCCTTGGATCCTGGCGCGGGCGGCGCGGGAGGCAGTGCAGGCGGCAGTGCTGGTGGTGCAGCGGGCAGCAGCAGTGGCAGCAGTGCGGGTGCTACAAGCTCAGCGGCGCCTGCAGCAGCAGTGGTGGGAGCGCACGACGCGAACGTGCGGCTGCTGGGACTGAGAGCACTGGAGATGTTCCTCCCACACCACGCGCTTGACGTGCTGCGCTTCAAATCCGCCATCATCGCATCATTAGACGACGCAGATCCGGCCGTTCAATCCGCAGCGCTGCGCCTGATCACAGCGCTCGTCACGCGCCCGTCGCTCGTGCCGTCGGTGGCGGCGCTGCGGCAGCGCATGGCGGGGGCGGCGGCGGCGCGCAGCCCGCTGTGTGGCGAGCTGGTGACGGCCGTGCTGCAGATGTGCGGCGCGGGGGGGTTTGAGCGCGTGGCGGATTTTGTGTGGTATGTAGACGTGCTCCAGGATATTTGCTACGTGGCTGTTGTGGGTGGGGGTACTTCCACTGCCAGCCTCGCCCTGCCCTCACACGCAAGTGCAGGTGCAGCAGCAGCAGCAGCGGACGAGAGCGTGTGGTCACTGGCACCCCCGGGAGGCACATCAGACAGTTCTAGTGGGTACGGTCGCAGAATGAGTGGTGGCCCCGGTCTCTCTCACGCCTTCTCAGCCGGAGCAGCAGTGGCAGAAGCATGGGCGGGCAGTGAGAGGGGCAGGGAGGTGGGGCGGCACCTGGTGGCGGTAGCTCTAGGGTCACCCGTGCCGGTGGCAGATAGACCGCGAGTGAGGGCAGCAGCGCTGCACCTGGCGTTGCGTCTGGTGGGGGACACAGCGCTGCTGAGGAGCAGGGCGGGCGGCGACCACGTGCTGGCTGCTGCAGCGTTCCTCCTGGGCGAGTGTGCACACGAGCTGCTGCCCAGGACTGGGGATGCTGCGGCTGCAGGGGCGCGTGAGGGCAGCAGCAGCACTGGCACTGGCACAGCCACACTCTCCGAACTATCTCAATCTCCACCAGAAGGCCCACCAGCATCAAGATCAGAATCAGGAGGTGCCTCGGAGTCGTCTCTGTCGTCTCTGCTCGCGTCCCTGCTGCAGCCCAGCGTGCTGCTTCTACCCCCGGCAACCCAGGCTGTGTTCCTACAGGCCGCCCTCAAGGTGCTCCTCTCCCTCACCGCCCAAGCCACAGCCACACGCCTGCTGCCAGGGGCAGCACCAGCAACTGGGAGCAGCCTGGGAGAACGTGGAGAATCGCCAGGCGCAGTGTCTAGTGGCGGATGTGCGGTGGAAGAGAGAGAGGCGCGGTGGGCAGTGGCAGCAGCGGCAGTGGCGGAGGCAGCAGGAGCGAGGGGGAGCGGAGTGCAGTGGGTGGTGGGTGTGCTGGAGGAGGGTCGTGAGCGGCTGCTGCCGTTCCTGCAGTCCCCTGATGCAGATGTGGCTGACAGGGCCTGCAATGTGGCTGCTCTGCTGGACCTGCTGCTGCCACTGCTGCTGCAATCTGCACGCGCTGAAAGGCAGGTTAGGCCGGAGGGGGAGGGAAGAGGAGGGGCAGCAGGAGAAAGTGAAGTTCTTGGGAACACTGGTGAGGCAAAGGCGATGGATGGGGGATATGCAGGCTCGGATGGGAATGAACGGCAGAGGCAGCAGCAGTTGGAGCAGCAGTTGCTGATGCTCCACACCTTGGCCTCGCTCTTCCCCGCCGCCCAGCCTGATCAATTCGACGCGCCCGCACCCCACCCTCCTCGTGCCCTCATGCCTCTCACAGCTAAAGTCGCAGCAGTGGGAGCAGCAGGCAAGCAGCAGCTGCTGCGAGCTGTGGAGAAAGCAGCAGCGGCGATGGGAGTAGGGCCTCCTGGTGCCATGCCTCGTGGCAGCACCAGTGGCGATGCTTCTGGTGCTGCTGCTGCTGCTGCTGCTGGTGCTCTGGCATGGCTAGACGCTTTTGGGCAATCATCACACGATGAGTCGTGGGATTCCGGCATTCTCTTCGTGCGCTCGCTGCCACCCCGCTTCCTGCCCACCCCCTCCATCCCCTCTTCCTCGTCTGCCATTCCTGGCAGCAGGGCTGCAGCAGCAGCAGCAGGAGGGGCAGGAGCGGCGCTGCATGGTGCTCTGGGCTACTCTGTGCCTGGACAATCGATGGGTGGAGGGGGAGGAGGGGGAGCAGGCGGTGCGAGTACGGCCCATCAGGTGGGTGGTAGCACGGAAGGCAGCACAGAGGAGTGGCGCAAGCGCAACAGCCTCTTCTACCTGCCGTCAGGGGGCTCCCCCAAGGCAGAGGGCAGAGGCAAGGAGGTGCAGAGCAGGGAAGGGGAGGGCAGGGGCAGTGCAGGGGGTGCGGAGTTTCCTGCTGCTGCTGCTGCTGCTGCTGTGTCGAGTGTTTCAGGGAGAGGAGATTTCCCGTCGGCCGTGGGTGACTATGACTACCCGCCTGCAGTGGGTGACGAGGTTGTTGCGGAGTTCCTTCCGTCGAGGGGGTCTGGAGGAGGAAGCAAGCGAGCGTCACAGTTGTGTGGCTTGCTGGAAGAAGAACCATGATGATACTATCAGAGGGAGACGCAGTGTTGCAATGGTTGGTGGTACGTGTGGTGAGTTTGCGTAGCGATGTTACGTCCATAGGTGACCACGTGTTGGTTATACAAAGTAGAATGCTGCATTGCATTGTATGCCTTTTTTACCTTGGAGTTACAGTGGCTGCAACCAATGAGAAAATCTCCAACAAAACTTCACGGTTGCTATATTCACGGTTGGAGTGTACAGGCTCAAGCTGCGTGTTGCGTTTAAAATTTTGCCTTGCCTATAGCCTTTCACGTGCGCCACTATCGAGACTGTATCGTACGGTAGCTCTTGCGCGCGTTCGAGGGCGTGGATAAGGGCACTCAGTTACGACTGTGGATGGGGTAATTACATTCTGGGTAACCAACATCGAGCCCGCTGACGTCAAAAGTCACCTACGTGGCTCGATGGTACCCGTCAGATCATGCGCACCCCTTGGTGGTACCCATCTTCCCTCCGTGGTACCCATCTTCCCTGCGTGGTACCCATCAACTGTGCGTGAATTCCCTGACTGGTACCGCAACATTTCAACCGAGCTGTACACCGTACAACAAGGGTTTCAATGCGATTTTCACTATATTATACCAACGTTTTCTGTCTGCAATTGAACATTAATACATTTGAACATTAATACCTTTGAACGTGCCTTACACTGGATAGAGTGCAACCTAGAAAAAATCAACTCCCCTTCTAAAATCCTCACGTTACCTCCGAACCCTTGTAAGCTCACATCACTGAGCGATAGGTAGCGTGAATCTTACGACCATGTTTCTCAGCGCGCAGTTGGTAATCTGAACAAAGTTCATAAGGTTGTATGCAAATAAATTGAGCATGTACCCCCACAGCTAAATAGAAAAGCATAAACAAATAATACGTACATTCGTTGGTTTCTGGAAACAAAACAATACCCATTAATGAAAATCAAATAACCTTAAGTCAATATATATATTACGTGTCAGTTGATCGTTTGTTACACGGATGTTAATTTTTGTGTTTCGGTTGATGCAATATATCTGTGGTGATTTAAATTATAGCACGTTATAATGTGGATGTTTATGAGCCTAAAGAAAACTACACAATAAATGTTTTCCTAAATTCAGCTTTTCTTCTACACTTTATTATAGGTAATGCGCTTGAAAATTTGACCCGATTATGTGGCACTTCGGGCTTCGGACTCTATTGAGCTTGTAAACGTTAAGACAATATAGTGAAAAACGCATTGACACCCTTGTTGTACGGTGTACAGCTCGGTTGAAATGTTGCGGTACCAGTCAGGGAATTCGGGCACAGTTGATGGGTACCACGCAGGGAAGATGGGTACCACGGAGGGAAGATGGGTACCACCAAGGGGCGCGCATGATCTGACGGGTACCATCGAGCCACGTAGGTGACTTTTGACGTCAGCGGGCTTAATGTTGGTTACCCAGAATGTAATTACCCCTGTGGATGTGATGCACACCCTAAGGGACATTCCTACCTCGTGTCTGACATCACGTCATCCGCCCTTGGAAGCTGGGAAGACCCGAAGTGGCTCGAAATAGGGGCAAATCAACATTGGGAAGAGACAAATCAAAGACTAAGGGCGGATGACCTGATGTCAGACACGAGCTAGGAATTGACCCTAAGACAGATCTCCGGAATTTTAGACTAGGCCCTGATGCATCCGGAATTATTAGCGGAATTAGAAGCTTACCCCTTCCGTTTTCTGATCAGAACTACACACAGTGCAGGCGCGTGAGTGTGGCGAGGGTCAGAGAGCTGTGACATGAAAAAAACAGAAACACTCAGGAGTTGGTTCTTGTTGTACTGTACGAACACACTCTTTCTTGTTCTGGGCAGGTAGTTTTTGTTGAGAAAGCCAACGAAATCGGAGATTCTCTTACCTTGCGCCATGGACAGGCTCGTGTGATACAAACTCGGTTCTTGAGATGGTCTGGTCCCTGCAGACAGTCTTGATCCTTTCCACCTCGACTCCCGAAAATCAGGACTCCCAGCCCAGTCCTGGTGAGGCGCGGATTGCACAGCCACAACGACACTCGAATGGCCTTATCATCTGAATCGGATGATGATCTCCGCCACCGCCGCCACCATTCGATCCAGGCGCAGCAGCATCGCGCCCGCGACAGACAGCCAATGACGACGAGCTCTGCTCACTTGGGTCGCCTCGCCGCGGCTGCGTGTCAGCAGCGTTACCTTACCATGCTGCTCCATGGCGGACGACGTGCGGTCATGGCGGGCATGTCCGAGTCCCACTCCCACACTCAACACTCACACACAACCACCACCACCACCACATCATGCGCGTACAGCAGTAGTACTAGCAGTAAACGTCCTCGCATTTCGCGACAGATTCTAAGCCCGTCTACCACTACCACCAGTACTACCGCGGCAGGCAGCGGCAGCTCTCGCGCACCTGTCCGGTCGAAAGGAATGCGCGCTATAGCAGCACTTGAACACGAGCCAAAGAGCGTCACCCGTGCTTAAGGCGAGGAGCGGGCGCGGGAGTCGACCTGGGATGAGGATATTGGTTGACGTGAAGTAGGGTCACCGACTCGGTGAGATTTGCCGCGGCCAAACGTCGTGTGAACGAGGTACCTCGTCACGTGATAGCCGGAGCAGCCGTCACCACCGCCGGTGATAATTCAATATTGTTTTCGTATCTTATTTGCCCGCCGCGGGTCCGTCCATCATCTTCACGCCACGACGCCATGCCGCTCGTGCGGCGGCCTTGCATTCCCTGCCTCTCCTCCACGGAGAAAGTCTCTACTGCTATGACGGCACAACATCAGTAGATCCTCTCTCCATCCCCAGTACTACTTCTACCCGATCCCCCGCTCTCCTTTCTCCATGCACGTGTCACGGACCTCGTCGTCCTCCTCCTCCTCCTCCTCCTCCTCCTCCTCCCGTCACCGCCTCTGCGTGCCTCACGTGCTCCTCCTCGTCTACCTCCTCGTCGCCGCTGCTCTCACCACCACGCTGCTTCTCCACCTCCCTGACTCCCACCCTGCCACCACTACCACCGCCACCGCTGCCACCGCTGCCACCAACCCCGCGGGCGCCATCCGCGCCAGCGCCGCCGCGGAGCCCTCTCCTCGCGAGTCTGCCTCCGGAACTGCCTCCGCCCGACGGCAGGCAGTCCGTGTCGCCTCCGCCGCTGCCGCTGCCGCTGCCGCTGCCGCTGCCGCTGCTGGTGTTGCCCCCGCAGGTGCAGCATTTACCGCCGCTGCTGCCGCAGGCGATGCCGTGGGTGGGCGCAGAGGGCAGGCGCTCACAGGCGCAACGAGCAAAGCGCAGCTGCTGCTGCGGGGAGGCTGGCGCGGCGCACAGCGGAAGGCGGGGAGCGGTGGGCTCTGGGACGGCGGTGAGAGCGCGCGTGAGTGGGGCGCGAGGGAGCGTGCAGCGGAACAGCAGATGCTGAGACTCGCGGACAAGACTTTTGAGGTGAGTGGGATGGGATGGTGGTAGTGTGGGCAGGTGATGGGTGCGAGAGGAGAGAGGCCGCGGTGCGATTGTTCTTTGCTTTTGATCTGATGAGCTGGAGGTGATGGGGTATGAGAGTGCTGGAGGAACGGCTGAGAGGGAGATGAGGATGAGGATGAGGATGAGGATGAGGATGATAATGATGATTGAACAGCTTCTCCCCCCCCCCCCCCCCCCCCTCCTCCCCGAGTCGAGTTTCACCCGTCGAGTTTTTTAAAACTCGGTGAAAACTCGGTCTTGGTCTCGAGTTTTTTCAGGACTCGACGAGTCTACGGAACTCGTCGCGACATTCAGTGAGGTGACCCCATTGCCTCCCGTTACCTTCCGTCCGCCTCCCATCATTCCCTTTTCTCCACGTGCCCCTCCTCTCCCCCATTACCTCCTCACGCTGGCAGCGCAACGAGCAGCGGCGGCAGGCGTGGGCGTGGGAGCGCAAGCAGGCGATCTCAGCAGGGCGAGAGGATGAGGCGCAGGGGGGCACAGAGGCCACGCTGTCACAGCTCATCCCCACATACCCCTGCCCCAGGGAGCAGCGCCTGGGGGTGTGGGCCAATGGGGGCAAGGTGGGGGCAGTTGATGGGGGGAGGGCTGGCTGGCTGGTTGGTTAGTTGGTTGGCGGGGAGCGATTGCAAGGTGGAGCATGTGGCGTGCTTGTGGGGTGTCAGTGACACGCGCATGGGCTGGGGGCGCATGGGGGCAGTGGAGCCCATGCATGGTCTTGTGTGCTGCTGCATCGGGAGGGCCTTACGCCTGCTGCCTGCACTGCTCACTGCCATGCTGCTGGCTCTCTTGCCGTCTTGCTGGCTAGCTGGCCGTCTTGCTGGCTCGCTGCCTGTCTTGTTGGCTCCCTGGCCGTCTTGCTGGCTCTCTGGCCGTCTTGCTGGCTGCCTTGCAGCAGTGTCATGATCTTTGTGTTTGTGGATATTACTGCTGCCAACGTGTTACCACAAGTGGACTTGCATTCCGACAGACTCGTCCCATGCGCTGCATTCATTCTTTTCTCGTCCGCTGCTGCAAATGCTGTAACCGGATTCCCTTCTGCTAGCTCACACTTTATCTGTACCATCCTCACCCACCCTCCCTCGTGCTCTCATGTACCCCCAGTGGCTATGTGCAGTGCGGTCAGCCTTCCAGCGCCATCCAGTGGTCTACAGGTGAGCGCTCCACTCAGCACCCACGCACCACACGCCTGAAGAATCTCCAGTGCCCTTTACTCTTAGCAACTGAGAATACGTTTCTCGTGACTTCTAAACCAGCTAGAACCTTCAAAGCGCAACGCGCACGTGCAGCCCGCAGCAAGCGAGCGTCCCTGGCCATCATCCTTCCTCCAATAACATGTCTCAGGTCTCCTTCTGTCATCACCCCCACCCCCACCCCCACCCCCACCCCCACCCCCACCCCCACCCCCACCCCCACCCCCACTCCCACCCGCACCCGCACCGCACGGCAGCAGCATGGGCAGCAACGAGGAGTTCTCCTTCGAGCAGGACATCGGTGCCCTCCTGCACACCACGCCTCTCACCTTCGACCCCTTCGTGCCGCCCTCCTTTGCTGACTTCATGAACCAAACCCTCCACTGCCTCTCCTTCTTCTCCACCGGCCTCTCCTCCCAAGCAAGCCTCGAGAAAACCCGCGCAGCGAACCCCGAGCAGGAGTTTTTGACGCTGCCCGAGATGATGGCGCAGCACGGGCATGCGTATGTGGACGTGTTGAAGCTGGACTGCGAGGGGTGCGAGGAGGAGGTGCTACTGGAACTGGGCTCTACTGTATACCCCTCCCAGCTACCCCGCGTGGTGAGGGGGAGAGGGTTCCACCGGTGGGTCAGATCCTGGTGGAGATGCATAGGTGAGTGAGATGTGGTGCCTTGCTCTGGTGGACGTGGCATGGCAAGAGCAACAACAATGTAGACGAGGAAAGCAGGTAGTAGGTACCGCATGGCACATAGCAGCAGCACAGCGGTTAGGTTCTCTACCGACCCATCGAATGCACAAGCTCCGGCCTTTTGCAATCGTGTGCACGCAGCATTCATGTTAGCCATCCAGGTGGGCCTATTCACATTGCCACCACATGCCGCCCGCCTGCATGCCACCTCTCCCAACTGCATCGTGCCACACCGCCCTCATTTTCTGTCCGCATCCCCATCCCCCCCTTCTCTCCCCAGGGTGAACGACTCATCAGCGACGCTGGCAGTGGTGCGGCATGTGGAGCAGCTGGGGTACCGCCTCTTCCACGTGGAGCCCAACCCCACCGCGCCTGCGCACTGCGTGGAGTTAGCATTCATCCACAAGCGCCTCGTTGCCATTTGAATCGACTCAAAAGTCAATGTGGACCCCAACGCAACCCCACCGCGCCTGGCACTGCATGGAGCTAGCCTTCATCCACAAGTGCCTCGTTGATTGTTGAGTTGACTTGACTAATACAGTAGTCAACGTGGACTATTAGCCATCCCAACCCCACCGCACGCACCTGCGCTCTGTGTGGTGCTAGGCTTCATCCACCTCCGCCTCGTGCTCCCTCCCTTCCTCTACCGCGCTCTTCTGAGTCTCCTAAAGAGAGACTCTCTCTATCTCTCTCTACTACATGCACTGCAACTCCAGTAATGCCACTTACGACCATTCCGTTCCGCCCTGTGGTTTTGTTGCTGGGAGCTGGACCGAGCTATACGTTGTTTGGGCCATCTGGTCCAAGGCAGCCCTTTCCGGTCCGGACCCTAGTATTGATATTACCGTATCAGCCTTGTTGATGTGGCACTCGATCTATAAATGTTTAAAGCATATGGTCCTTCAATTTGCTCCAGCTAGTCATACCACCCATACCGGTACAACTGACCCTGTAATATTCTCAAGCTTTGCCCCACATCATTTCTTGGCAAGAGGAGCACTCGTGACTCGTCCCATCAGCGCATGAGCCACCCCTTCTTCGGGTCCACTCTCACAGGCTTCTCCAGCAGAGCGTTCACCTGCACATGCACACCGCCCTCACTCTCCTCCCCCACGCCACCCCTGGGCAGCATGTGCCAGTGCAGCCGCTTGTACCCCAGCCCATCCACCAGCGCCACATACAGCGGCAAGTCGCGCAGGGGGAGCAGCAGAGAGTCGAGCCAGAGCACGCCGCCCACTCGCAGCACGCGGTCCCACTCGAAGAGCATGTGCTCCCAGGGGAGGAGAGGGAGAGGCAGGCGGTGCATGCAGGTGGTGCCACAGTGGATGACGTCGAGTGTGTTGTCGAACAGTGGTAGCCGTTGCTGGCATGGTGGAGGGAGTAAGTGGCAGAGGAACGGGGGGAGAGGGGGGAGTGGGGAACAAGGAAGGGGGTAATGCAGTGTGACATGGTGTTGAGTTGTGATGGCAGGCGGTGCATGCAGGAGGTGCCACAGTGGATGACGTCCAGTGTGTTGTCGAATAGTGGTAGCCGTTGCTGCGAGTGGGGAGGTGCATGGGGAAGGAGTGAGAGAAGGGAAGTGGGGAGAGAAGGGACGGGGAGAGAGAAGGGAGGAGGGGAGAGAAGGGAGGGGGAAGCGGGTACTGTGATGTGACGTGGTGACGGGGTATGCGGGCAGCGGGTGTGGTCCCACTAGAAGAGCATGTGCTCCCAGGGGAGGAGAGGGAGAGTGAGGCGGTGCATGCAGGTGGTGCCACAACGAGGGGGTGGTGGATGTGGGTAATGCGATGTGATGAGGTGACCAGGTGTGGCATGGTGTGGTGCAAATTGCTATACTGTGATGTGTGGCATATCACAGCACAGCACAACACAGCAGGGCACAGCAGGGCAGACATCCCAGCACATCCCAGCACATCCCAGCACATCCCAGCACATCCCAGCACGCACCGAGTGTGGAACGTGCAGGGGAATGAGTCCCCTGAGTGCAATGGTCTCCATGTATGGGGTGCCCTGCGCCTGCATTGACGCCCGCCCCGTGCCCTGTGCCTCCGCATTAATAGCCGTGGTCAGTACCGTCACGTTGTACCGTGCCATGTGTGCTGCCCAGCTGCCCGTGCCACCTCCCACGTCCAGCCCGACCCTGGCAGTGGGGCAAGCACGGGGGTGGGCACGGGGGCGGGAGTTTTCAGGGAACGGTGGATACAGGGCAACCCCCCGTAGTTGCCCGTGCCCTGTGCCTGTGCCTCTGCGTTGATGGCCGTGGTGACTGTCACGTAGTACCGTGCCATGTGTGCCGCCCAGCTGCCCGTGCCACCTCCCACGTCCAGCCCAACCCTGGAGAGGAGGGGGAGGAGGGGATGGATGATGGCCGTGGTGGTCCCGTCCCGTTGCGTTTACCATGGGAGTGCGTCACCATTCACTCATCAGGCACAGATCTGTGATGCGTCAAGGATAGTGTGATGGTGCATACGCGGATTGATAGAGAGAGAGAGAGAGGCGCGGAAAAGATGCGGGCAAAGGAGCACGTGAGCTGTGGTGGAGAGGGCTTGACTGCCTGGACCTGTGCTCGTTTCCCCAATCACTAGCATTGTCCCCCCTCAGCTACCTCCCTAGCCCTCTCTTTTCCCACCCAGTACTTCCCCATAGCACTAGCGCGCACCTAAGAGCGCCCTGCTTCCACCGCACCACGTCCTGCACGGAGAGCGCCCCTCGGAAGCGCGACTGCCAGCGCCTGCTCTGCACGCTCATGTTGAAACACTGCGCGCACTCGCTGCCCGCCATGCTGTTGCTGTTGCTGTTGCTGTTGCTGTTGAGGCAGTGGAACGACTTGCACGCGTGGTGCTGCCACCGCAGCGCCGTGTCCTGCAGGGCCAGCTGCGAGAAGAGTGATTGCGGGAATGGCATGGGCTGCACAGGGGGAGGGGAGGGATAGGGGGGAGGGGTAGGGGGGAGACACGGAAGAAGGTGTGGTGCGGTTGTGAAAATCACAGTCAGTCGCATTCCTCACTCTCCACATCTTTTGGGATTGTCATTGTGGAATACCCAACACATAAGAGCGCCCTTCATTCATCCCCTCCCTGCTCACAGTGGGGAGAAACAAGGAACAGCAGCTCGTCGCAGCAGCGCAGCAGCACCTGTCCAGAGCAAAAGCTGCACTGCACGGCAAGGTTCCACTGTATCCCGGCGCGGCAATGAAAAGGAATGTGAGTGACAGACAGACTGACCTCGACGTGGGTGGCGGGCGTGCGGGAGAGGCAGCGGCGCATGGGCAGGGCGAAGCAGTGGCGGTGGAAGAGCAGCGCCTGTGTGTCCAGCCAGTCGTCAGGACACATGTGGCGCGGCTTGTAGTCCAGGTACTGCATCAGCTCCTCCTCACTGCCCTCACACGCATACGCCTGATGGCCACGGCACGGGAGGGTGTGGGTTGGGAGAATTGCTGGGCTTGCAGGGGAAGTGAGATGTTGAAATTGGTGGGAGGTTGCGCACGGGGCACATGTGGTGTGGAGTGGAGGGCACATGTGGCGCGGCTTGTAGTCCAGGTACTGCATCAGCTCCTCCTCACTGCCCTCACACGCGTACGCCTGATGGGCATGGGCCGACATGGGTCGGCATGGGTTGCCATGGGTCGGCATGGGTTGCCATGGGTTGTCATGGGTTGCCATGGGTTGCCATGGGTTGCCATGGGTTGGCATGAACGGTGGGGTTGCAATGGAAGTGAGATGCTGAAACTGCTGGGCTGCTTGCGCACATGGCACATGTAGACTGAGTGCATGTGGGTAACTTTGCTTGCAGTGCATGGATAGTGGAAGAGGAGGAAGAAGAGGAAGAGGAGGAAGAGGCAGTGGAAGGGGTCACGCTGACTCCACGCAGGCAGGCATACGCGCAGGCAGGGAGGTGGAGAGACCACGGCATGTGTCGTGTGAGCAAGGGGAAGGCAAGGGAGAAAGGAGTACCTGCCTGGTGGCATGGCATGGGGAGGGAGGGCGGGAAGCGATTGCATGCATAAACCGCTGAAAGCCCTCCAATAATTCCGCCACTTGATCTTGCTTGCACTTGCTCGCCTTGCTCTTCCGCAGGCCCCACCCACCCCACCATCCGGCACAACACGACTCACCCCCCGTGCCACTCTTGGCACTCTAAGTTATGAAGCCAGTGAGCTCAGCGCTCATGGGGCGCACAGAACAGCGTGCCTCACCTTCCACACGTGTGTGGGGTGCGAGAGCAGCATGCCCGTGCCCGTGCATGACGCCACCACTGCCCTTGCCCTCTCCACCGCCTGCCATGCCACCGCACACAGGCATACACAGGCACACACAGGCACACACAGGCACACACAGGCACACACAGGCACACACAGGCACACACAGGCATACACAGGCACACTCAGGCACACACAGGCACACTCAGGCACGCACAGGCACACAGAGGGACCACAAACGCACACAAACCACACAGAGCCACACATGTCGTGGGCCGGCACGTGTGAACGCATGCACGCACGCATGAACAGCGGACGCAGGAAAGGGGGGGGGGGAGGGGAGGGAGAACGCGAAGCAATGAGAGTCTGTGCCATAGGGTATGGTTGGGCGGTGAAGCACATACACGCATTGATGGCATGGCACACACGGGTTCACTCACACAGTTGAACAGTGCTCTCCCAGGTGAAGCACTGCACGCAACGCAGCACACAACAACTGTGCAGGTCCCTGTGGCATTCTGAGAACTCTCAAAAGCGACTCATCCATTGAATGAAACTCCAACAGAGCAGGCAACACCGCCCCAGGCCCCTACGATGCCTCCAGCCTCCTCCCCCCTTTCACCCCCACCCCCCCGTTGCTGACCGATTTGGGCATGAGGCGAGTGGCCCAGTTGATGGAAGGAGACGCGATCTGCTTGTTGAGACGCTGCCTGGCTGTGGTGATTCGCCTTAACTCCCTCTGGCATGCATGGCGACGATGGATGACACGCAGAGCAACACGCAGAGGGGGCGACAGGCACAGGCACAGGCACAGGCACGGGCACAGGCACAGGCACGGGCACAGGCACGGGCACAGGCACAGGCACAGGCACAGGCACGGGCACCGGCACAGGCACGGGCACCGGCACAGGCACGGGCACAGGCACGGGCAGTCAGACGGACGGACGGACGGACGGACGGACGGACGGACGGACGGACGGGCGGGCGGGCGGGCGGGCGGGCAGACAGACAGACAGACAGACAGACAGACAGACAGACAGATAGACAGACAGACAGACAGACAGACAGACAGACAGACAGACAGACAGACATGCATGCACACACAAACGCATACGCATGAATGAACCCATACATATACACACACGTGAGCAGGGGCGCGCAAACACGCATGGAAAGAGGAGAGAATGCCATGGATAAAGTGGTGGGCTCAAGCAGGACAAGTGACGACCCATCACGCACCCCTCTACCGTTCCACCTCACCCACGTCCCAACAATCCCACCTCCCCGCTTAGCCACCCATTCCCCAATAAGACCTGCTCCCTCAGTCCCTCCCCTTCCCCCTCCCCCCATTTCCCCCTCCCCCCCATTTCCCCCTCCCCACCTTCTTCTCCGCCATCTCAGCGTCCATGCGTGCCAGTCGCCCCATCTGATCCCGCAGCTTCTTGCGCCATCCCACCCCGCCCACCGCCAGTAGTGCTCGCTGCCCGCCCACCCTCGCCGCAGCACCCCACTCGTCCTCCGCCCCCCCTGCACGCCTTGAGGGCGCCTCTTCTTCATCCACCCCTGCCGCAATCTCAATGCCGCCGCTCTCCCTGCCGCTGCTCCCCCCATCCCCTTGCTTCCACCCATCCAATTGGCCTTCCCTCGCCTCCTCAACGCCTTGCCTCCTCCCAACCATTGCCCCCGTGCCGCCCATGCCCCCCGTGCCGCCCATGCCGCCCATTCCACCCATTCCACCCATTCCACCCATGCCCCCCATGCCGCCCATGTCATTCTGTATGCTCGTGTCATCGCCCGCGCCCCTGCCAGCTGGATTCTCCCCGTGCACGCCAGCTGGCATGTGAAACGTGGCGGCGTGCCATTGGCGCAGCTGCTCCAGCTCCTGCTTGCACGTCAGGGGCTCGCGCTGGGTGCTGCGGGGAGACGAGATGGTGACGGGGGAAGAGCGGAGGGGGCGGTGAGGAGGAGGGGGGCACGGGTGGGGGGGTGAGAGGGGGGAGGGTTGGGAAGAGGGAGGCAGGGAAACAAGGGGTGCGAGGGCACTCGTGTTTGGCGTTGGGTGTGTTGGAGAGGAGGTGTGTTCAAAGGGGGGCACTCGGTCAGTGGGATCCGCGATGAGCACTCCACGCGCCCGCTAAGCCAGTGGCTTCAAGCCAGTAGCTGAAGGCCCATCCATCTTGGGATGGCTTTAGATCACGGAATAGGGCCTGGGTCCGGGTGTAGACATTTGTGGAACAAGCGGCTGGCGTTCTGGCAACATGACACGTGCGAATTCTGGAAAAGGCACCGGCAAGAGCGTGGAATTAGGGCTCGACACGTGGCTGCGTGCGCGGATGAGGTGGCTCGAAAGGTCGCACCTGGTGTGCGGGGACAGCAGGGAGTGAATGGCGGGTAGGAAACCGGAGGGTCGCACTGACGACGCTGCGACGCTGCTGGTGCGACTGGCAGGCGACGTCGCGTGCGATGCATGCGGAGCGAACGATAGCGAGGATGCGAGAATGGCGAGCGCGAGTAGCGAGGTGCCTGACATCCGGCGGTAAGCGCGATCGCGCCGTGGGATCGTCATAGACCACTGCGTGGCGTGTGATGGAAGGGCATCCCTCGACAGAGAATTCGACGGCGCGAAAGCCGTTGCGGAGCCCGATGCTCGTCGTCAACCAAACGCGGATCGCGCTGGATACGTGTCAGATAGTCAAGTCACTGTTCGGCTTGTGTACTGGTGATGGGTTGAGGAATAATTTGAGAATGCTGCTGAGGGGAATGGCGTGGCGAAAGGAGAATGTGACAAGCTGGAGGACCTAGGCCTAGTTGTAGGTGGTGGACCGTGGTGCACTTTCAACACCTCAGGAATTTCCCAGCTTACTCTATATCGCGTACAGCCTCAACTTTCGGAACACAAGGCTAGGGCCAGTTTGCCTGGTGTTCACCCCAGCCAGAATACACGCGGTATAGTTTGCCTCGGATCTTTACACATAGTGCGTTCAATGAGGCTTTCGAAGTAAACAATCTACACGAACCAGGATTGTTCAGGAATGAAAATGTCCAGAGCCATGGATAATGGCTTTGAACAGGCTCTAATGAGACTACAATATATACGAAATGAACTAAATGCATATGCAGAATAATTACACCAAAATTGATTGTTGTCGTCCTCTTGTTGTGGGTTGCTCATTTTCATCCTTATCTGGAACGATATCACTTGTGACTCGAAGCCTGCCAAGGATATCAGTAAAAAAAGAACCACGCGAAAAAAAAAAAACAAAAAAAAACAAAACAAAACAAATGAAAGGACACCCCGAGTCTATGCGACTCCTCCATGATTAGCTCCGCCAATGCCAGCTGGCGATGCAGCATGCTTCCCCACCCTCGTCCTCTCCACTCCCTTCCCTGCCCCCGGGCCATCAAACAGCAAGAAGTTTCAGCGTGTCGGCAACAGTGAGCACAGCGGAATGGCCTCCCCCTGCTGCAAGTGCCTGCACTTTACCCACACACTAGTCCACATGCATGAGCATCCATGCATAGAACTCTCTGCCTGTTGCTGCCTGCCCACAGCTGTTGTAGCCCCACCCTAGTATCTGATCGTCTGCCATGGCCACTAGCGTGGTCCTGGGATCACAGCAGGCACCGGGGCAGAGAGGGGAGCGCGGGGGGGAGAGGGGAGCCGGGGGGTGCACAAGGGCGAGGGGGGTGCAAGGACACAAGGGGCACGGGGGGGAGAAGAGACGTGACAGAGAGGGCATGGGGGAGCGGAAGGGCACGGGAGGAGAACGGGCATGCCAAGAGGTGGCAAGGGCAGCCGCTCCTCCAACCATGAGAGTGTGTTTGCCACCTCATGGGAGTAGTTCTTTACTTTCTCCCCACACCCACCCTCCTTCTTCCCCATCCCTTCACCTCTCCACCTCTCAGTAAGCACGCAAACAATCTCTCACCTGCCCACAGGTCACCAGCCGCACTCCCTTGGGCATGAGCAGCAGTGGCTGGCGCTGCACCAGCCCTCTCACAAAACCCAGCGACGAGCACCCACCCCCATGCGCCCACGTGCACCCCAACACGCCCCCATGCGCCCTTATCACACCCTCTCACATGCCCCCATGTCATCAGCCGCACTCCCTTGGGCATGAGCAGCAGTGGCTGGCGCTGCACCAGCCCTGTCATAAAATCCAGCGACGAGCACCCACCTCCCCCATGCGTCCCTGCTCCAAACCCCCCTCCAAACATCCCTCCTTTTTGTATTCATATTTATATTCATAGCATACATCGAATAATACACCCGCACGTGTGGGTGCGCCCACAAGCCACCTGCGTCACTGACACTCCTTCAAGCGCCACCACCCGCCTTGGCACCACCTCACACACGTGCAACCTCTGGCATGCAGCGTTCGGTGCCCCAGCTGCCCCAGTAACCCCCCTCCCCACGTGTACCTGCCCATGCACAGTCAGAAAGGGATACGGGGCCAGAATGGTGCATGCCCATACGGAATTGAGTGGGCCACGCCTTCCCCCTGTGTGTGCCCCAGCTGCCCCAGTGAACCCCATCTCCAGCTCATGTGAACATCTCCGTTCACTCACAGATCGCCCCTGGCGTGAGCAGCAGCGGTGTGGAACCAACCGCCCTGCATCATCTATTGCTCACTCGCCCACATGCCCACCCTCTTCTGCTCACTCGCATCTCTTGTATTGCTCACCTTCCCCACCACTGTTCACTCACCTAATCCACAGGCCCCCTTTTCCCACCCTCCTCTTTCCACTCATGTCTCGCCCCTGGCACCAACAGCAGCAGTGCGAAAACCCCCACACGCCACGGCAACCCTACAAGTAGATCTACTGTGAATCCAACACCTACTGCCCCCTTCCCACCCTCCCCTCCTCTACTCACATTCCCCCCCGGGTGTCAACAGCAGTAGTGTGAAGTGAAATCCCCCACACGCCACGGCCACGATAAGCTGATATCTATGCCATGGGGGCAGGTCAGGGGAGGTTCGTCTAAGAAGCGCTGGAAGGAGGTCACTAGATGCAGAGGTTGGAAACCTGCAGAGTGATGAAATAGATAGGAAGGCAATGAGAATAAGGGAAATGAAAAGATAGGAGAACGCAAAGTGAGTCAAGGAATTGGCTTCCACGACTTATATAATGATGATAAGAACAATGGCCAGTCGTGATAAGACCAGTACCCTGTGATAAGTGCGTTCACGTCCATGTTGAGACTAAGAGGGTGTATGCGGAACGAAGTGACATGTGTCTCTACTACCACCACCTGGTAGTACCGCTCTGTACCAGCCAGCAAAGCTTTCTATCTACTAGCACCGCTTTGCACCCACCTGGTTTTGGCCTCATACCCACAGGCGCACCTCCTCCCCCTCCTCTTCCCCAGTACCTCCATGCTCCGCATTGGCCTCTCCTCTCTTCCCCCTCCCCCGCCCGCCCCTTCTTCGCCTGGTGATGGCAGCAGTGCACTGCGCGCCACATGCCACAGCAGTCACCTCCTCCCCTGCCTCCTCTAAGGCTGCTACCTTTATAGGTTCCCTGTAGGGAAATGGTGGGACGAGGTGAGAGAAGAGGAAGGACAGGATTGAAAAAAGAGAAAAAATTATGATAGCTACAGTGCACTGCGCGCCACATGCCACAGCAGTCACCTCCTCCCCTACCTCCTCCACAGCTGCCACCTTATGGGCTCCCTGCAGGGGAATCGTGGGACGAGGGGAAAGAAGAGGAGGGAGAGGCGTGAAAACGAGAGAAACAGAGGAGGGGTTGATGCCTGCAGTCCACTGTGCGTCACACGCCACAGCAGTCACCTCCTTCCCTGTAGGAACGGAGAAAACGGAAACCCGAGTTTGTCGCATTACTGTGCTCTGTACCGACTTTAGGGTAGTAAAACAAGTCAACGGATTCAATGGAGTCAACGGAGTCAATGGAGTCAACGGAGTCATGGAGTCAACGGAGTCAATGGAGTCAATGGAGTCGACGGAGTCAACGGAGTCAATGGAGTCAACGGAGTCAATGGAGTCAACGGGGTCAATGGAGTCAATGGAGACAATGGAGTCAACGGGGCCAATGGAGTCAATGAAGTCAACAGTCTACGCACCTGCTGCTCTGCTCTGTGCCGTCGCCCAGCTGCCCGTACTCGTTTGATCCCCACGTGAACAGGCTTCCATCGATCCCCACTGTCGCGATGTGTTTCAAACCCGCACGCCACGCTAACAAGCGCAACGGACCGCCCGTCCCACGCACGGAGCTTCTCCCCCGCGATCCGCAGCGGCGCGCGCTGGCAGCGCCACGTGCGCGGATCCCCCCGTAGCTCCGCGCGGTGGCTGGTCTGCCCGCGGAGATTGAATCCCCAGAGGTACAGCGCGGTTTCTACGGGCTGGGAGAGACCGGCGATCGCGGCGGAGGACGCGGCGGGAGGTACGGCGAAAGAATCGATAAAGCTGGCGTTGTCTAGTAGCTAGCCTGTAGCTCAAGTTGAGGGGCCGGGCGGTAGCCGCCGGGCGAGCAATCAGCGGAGAGACGGGGTGGACGCTGAGAAGGGCGAAGCGCGGGAAAATAGCAACGGCACACACGTTTCGCATGAAACGTGGCAACAGGAAGCTGAATGTGGGAAGCTTGTGGAGACCAAGTGAAATTGCTCCAATGGTCACACTCCCCTGCATATTGCACGGGAAAGGCTGCAAGCTTTGAGATCAATGCGACCAGCTTTGATGAGTTGGGTTGGGTTGGTTGGGAGGTTCCGGCTCGGCGCGCGGTAATGTTTGAGCTGGTGTGTCAGAGGTCGAAGCTGGTTGCCAGCACCACGTGGGGGCAGACCATACGTTGTCCTCATAAATTTGTCCGCCAGTTTTGAACAGCTAGGATTAACACTTTATGGACGTAAGTACAAGTACACAACTGTGGAATTAAGCAATCTGCTCTTACCGCTCCAGTGTTTTGTTTGTACATATCGCGGTACTGTATACACTGTACAGGACCATCCTTTTCCTGCTGCGTCATCTGCGCAGACCCGAATTACAAAAAAAGAAGGCAAACTGTGCACAGTTTGCCTCCCGCAGCCCACAGTTTTGCCCCGCGTTGACTTGCGTGAGCAATTCAGGTCTTGGGCTTTAACAACAGCAGACAAGGAAGTCGTTGACCAACTTGCCCACACGACACGACACGACAGGGTAGAGCGTAGTCCTCTTGAGGAAAGGCGCCACGAGCTCCTACCTGAAGGCTGAATTCCTCATTTTTAGACGGTGATTGGTTTCCCTGCTCTGCGGCGACGCATCCGCCGTCTCCCCTGTGTGGGAGTGGAGATTTACGTTTGGGAAAATTGCCCGTACGACTAAGGAAAAAACTTCAGAAGTGAGTGTATTGTTCTGTACAGTATCTCGTGCTGGTGTTAGCATGCCGGAACCGCACGAGAGTTTTCCGTATTGTTGCCCGCTACCGTGACATGCATTCCGTCAGCTTTCCCGCCAGGTAGTAACCCCGCCAAATGCGTCCATGTGAATGCCGCAGCGAATTCTCCAAGTTTTCAAACCGCGCAATGTTGCGCATAAACCGCAATGATGTGCATCTCCTGAAACTGAGGTTTACCGTGCTGTACCGCAGGTTCGTAAACTATCACCATACTTCCAGGTCTGGTAACCTCCTCGCCATACCGGGCCAACCCTCAATCAGCTTTGCTTGCCGAGGATAAAAACCACTCGACTGATAATTGTGAAATCACGCACAGTCCACCAAAAACAAATTCTAGTCCACCATGGCGCACCACACGTACCTCGGCTTGTCAGTTGTTCTCTTAGTTGTCGCCGCATGCTTCGGTAAGCGACATTTTCCCCTGTACTTGTGCTGCAGTCAGTATCAGTCGTAAACTCCCACGAATCAATCCTGTTGAACTGCTTCATTCCATGCATCATTTCACCTGCTCAATTTTCTGATATGTTGTTTCATAAGTTCTATCCTATGTGTTTGCTTATGTTTTATCTTATTTTCAGCCACCACAACGGCGCGCCCTGTGAACGACAGAAACGGCGGAAAGGACGTAAAGGGCGGGGGACCCCCCGACGCGGGTCCGTGTCCGCTGCCCAAGCCGATCGAGGCTGAGGCTCTCGGGAATCTAACGGGTGAGAATGCGATGGGGAATCTGACGGGTGAGAATTCTCTGGGAAATTAAAAATCAACGCTTGGTGGGCCATGCGGCTAATCCTTTCGCTAAAAAAGCGCAGTGACGTGGTTCTCTGCCCCCCTCTTTCCTCCGCTTTCTTTCAGAAGACCCTCCCCTCCCTTTCCGCACACTTTCCTCCGCTGTTTCTCTCCGCCCTACTTCTCCCTTCCTCTCTCGAGCAGCGATTCTCGCCGCGCGGCTGAATGGATCCGAAATGGTTGGCGCCACCGGCGACGTCAATTCCACCAGCCGAATCTGCCTGGCCGTCTTTCAGTAAGCCAGCCGCCTGTGGTGCAACCACCTCAGCCTGAGTGCGCTGGCTGCCTTTCGTCAGCCAGTTTGAGTACAGTGTTGCTTCCCTTCTTTCTGAAACTGCGGTCTCAGCCCTGATTCAGTCGCTTGCTAAATTTCAACTAGAGCTTCTGCACTCCGAACCCTTGTTCTCAATTCAGCAAACCTTGGTTTCACATCATCTTGATTGCTCTGCTGCTCCACATCATTCTCCGATGATTCTGTTAATCTCCCTAACCTATGCGCATTCCCTTACTCCCTTCCGTTCGCATGTGTGAACCTGACGGAAACCGAGCCGGCGAGCCGTTCGCCGTTCCCATGTGGAAAGGCGCAGCGGGAGAGCGGGGACAAGCCGTCGCCGCTATTGTTGCGGCAGGTGCCACGTGGGAGAATCTTACTCGTCCGCTGCCTCCCCCGCCCAAGGCCAAGAAGAACAAGAAAACACCGCCCGCCCCGCCTCCTCCAAAGTACACTTATGCGCTTAACGGGACGTGGCTTAATGCGAGTACACTTACAGCCTATGACGGGCAGACAATAATGCAGCTGGTGGATACGATTATTGCGAAGCCCGATGAGAACTACGCGAAATTAGAGACGTATGCTTACGAGTCGGGTGCAGCTAGGGGGCAGTTCAAGTCGGAGCCGCTTCCGCCGCCGCAAAAGGACAAGAAGGGCGGAAAGAATGGGGGCAAGAATGGAGGGGGCAAGAATGGAGGCGATCAGTTTGGGACTCTTGTCGGTAAGAAGTGCTTCCCGTTACTAGCCTTCATCGCCTCTTGCCTTCCACTCTTGCCTCGCACACCATTTTTACTGCTTAAACTACTCACGCTGCCCCTTCCCTTTCTCCTTTCTCTCCGCGATTTCGTGCAGGAGCGGTGGGAACACGTCTCAATGGCTCCAATGCTGACCTCACTGGTGACGTCAACGCTACAGGCTGCATTTCCCTCGTCGTCTTCCTGTAAGCTTCGCCTTCTCCCTTCAGTTCACCCCTAACTCCCTCTTTTCATTTTCCTCTCTTCTCCCCTCAGTTCACCCCTAACTCTCTCAACGTCCCCTCACTTCTCCCACCTCTGTTTTTTTTTTGTTTTCTTGTCGCCTACTGTTACCATCGACCCTCCTTACCCGCCTGTCCCTAGGCTGAACACCCGCCCCTCCCCTCCCCTCCCTGCCCCTCCCTACCCCTCCCTGCCCCTCCCTTCCCCTCCCTGCCCCTCCCTACCCTTCCCTACCCTTCCCTGCCCCTCCCTGCCCCTCCTTGCCCCTCCATGCCCCTCCCTGCCTCTCCTTGACCCTCCCTGCCCCTCCCTGCCCCTCCCTGCCCCTCCCTGCCCCTCCCTGCCTCTCCTTGACCCTCCCTGCCCCTCCCTGCCCCTCCCTGCCACCCACCCCCTCAGCAACACCACAACAAACGACTACGACATTCGTTTCCACGTCAGCGTGTCTCTAAACGACTCTGGAGAGCCCACTGGTGTCGTCATCAAGAAAGGCGCTGATGTGGCACTCAGCGTGGTCCCCAGCAGCGCCACGTGGACCAATCGCACGCTCTCAGCAGCCGAGCGCGCCAAGCTGGGCGGCAAAGTCAACCCCAAGGGCAAGAAGGGCAAGCAGCCGCCTCCCCCGCCTCCCCCTCCCCTCGGATACACTTACGAAACCACCGGCACTTGGCTAAGTGCTAGTACTTTGACGGCTGATAACGGGCAGACGTACAAGGAGCTGGTGGATGCCATGCTAGCTGCTCCTGATGCTTACTCTGCTCTTGTCTACACCAGGACGTTCGAGAACGGTGCGGCCTTTGGAGCTCTAACCAAGCTCACCAAGGGTGGTCAAGAATCCGGCATATTGTCAATTAAAACGAGGGTCCACTAGAGGAATGTGATAAAAATAGGAAATCCTGAAATGTTGTACTCTCTAATGAGCAACTCAGTCTAGCCTAAAACCACCACATATATAATTTGACACACCCCTATAGGCTAGGTGAGGGGAATCACACAAGCAAGTGAAGCAACAACTACGGCCGGATCAACTAGTTCAACCACTTGGACACGTGGTCATAGGACCAGGCAACAAGTAGAGCCAACCCTAATGGGTTGTACTCATTACAGTCTACCCCACTACAGCCTACACAACATATAAGATATTTTGACACACCCCCATAGGCGAAGTGGGGGATAACAAACACAACAAGCGGTCACAAGACCAGTCAAGGGAAGAAACAAAACAAAGCAAGCTCAGGGTGGATCTCAAGATCACCACGCATTCCGAGCATAAGCAAGCGGCCACAAGGCCAGTTAACATGCAGTTTTATAATAGAGCAAGCAGTACAATGATCACAACCTAGCAACCAGAAACATGCAGGTTTATATATCAAAGTACAAGACAAGATCAAGAGACAAGCAGTGTTGGCCCGTGTGGCCACGTACGAAGGCGAAGTTGGGAACGCTGCTGCTACACTCGCACGGCAAAGGAACGAAGTGCAAAGTGCTACGTCTTGCTCGCTAGTCTGACCAAGTAGCGCAGCACCCTCCTAGCAGCCCGCCAATGCGCAGGGTGGTGTCTCTCGGGCGCAACGTAGCGAGTCCGGATGCTGAGAGGGTAAGGCAGGTACTCCAGCTCGAACTGCCTGTCCTCAAGGACGTCACAGCCAAGGGCAACCTCACCCTCGACGGACGTAGGACACGAAGAGGCAGAAACGAGACCAGCAAGGTAGGCACGGCGGTAAGTAGCGGCAAAGCCTGCGAGCTCAGCTACTAAGGCAGAAGCAGCAGCAAGCAGGTGCAGTCACAAGCGCGGCTAGACAAAAAAGGATAGTCGGGCGAGCAGCACGAGCAAGGTCACACACAGGGTCAGGAACGGCAGGAAAAGAAGACGGGGGAGGTAACGGCAGGACAACAGGCTCCCGAGTAACACAAGAGGTAGCAGGGGAGGCGGGCGGCAACAGTGGCCGAGACAGGTCAGGCGGCGGAAACAAAAGAGGAGGAGTAGTACGAGTGGGCGCCGGCTCAGGTAGCGATGACGACGGCTGCTCCAAGAAGATAGGCCGCCGCGGCAGCGACTGCAACGCACCCCCAGACCCAGCACATCCAGTACCAGTACCTCCAAGTCCACCAACAAGAGGACTCCTGGCACTCCCAGAGTCAGCACCCCCAGAAACAGCACCCTCAGAACCAGCACCCCCAGAACCAGCACCCCAAGAGCCACCACCCCCAACAACACCTGGGCCCCCGAAGTCTACAGCGACAGGCTGCAGAGGAGGCGAAGACGTCCGAGGCGGAAAACCCGGAGGTGTCTCCAAGCGCGGCGAGCGGCGACAGGTCGCTGTGTCGGCAGCAGCAGGGTCACCCCCCTCAGTCGAGCCAGAGGAGTCAGAGGGGACTACGAGGCACGAGAGAACAGGGGAGGGGTGTGCATAGACTAGTCCAGAGGTGGGGTCGGCCAACGTGACAGGGACCGAGAGCAACGCCTCCGCAGGAACCGCACCGGTACTAGTAGGCGCACAAGCAGCGCACACGAAGACTCTAACTGATGCTGCCCGCCCCCGCCACTCTCGCCAGCTCCACTACGACCACCCTCGCCAGCTACAGTGGCGACGTCTGACAGCGCAGGGAAGGTAAGAGGCAGCTCAAGACAGCCTAGGGTGGAGGAGGGGGGGGGGGGGGGTAGCGCCTAACCACAGCGGTATATAAAGCAAGGGCCGACGGCACCTGGCGAAAGTTGGCTCTCTGGTCGAGCGAGAGGTGAGCGCGGACTGCAAGTATGGCGGCGGCGTCGCGCGCCTTTCACCGCTTCTAGGCAATGCGGTCAGCGCGGTATTGCGTCTGCACCTCCTCCCCAGCGGCAGCAGCAGGCTCAGCAGGAGCCTCGGGGGCCGGAAGGGACCCCGACGTGTGCTCGAACAGGGAGGCGGTTGTCCTGAGTGACACTCTGGAGGTACTGGTGCAGACCCTCTAGCCAGGACCCAAACTGTATCGGGTGGCCCTCGGCGTCAAAGGTGAGCACTGTGGGAGTCGCCATAGCAGCAGTAACGGCAGCAAGGGCGGCAGCAAAGGCAGCGAGGCAGGGCGGCTCGGCTGGGCCAGCAGTAGCGCAGGCAGCAGCAGCACAGGCGGCAGTAGCAACGTAGCAGCACTCGGGGCAAGGCGGCGCTAGCGCGGGACGGGGCAGCGCACGCGGGTGGCAGCAGCACCTAGGGCGGCAGCAGCAGGCGGCAGCACCTAGGGGGACAGCACCTAGGGCAGCAGCAGGCGGCAGCACCTAGGGCGGCAGCAGCAGCACCTAGGGCGGCAGCAGCGGGCGGTAGCACCTAGGGCGGCAGCACCTAGGGCGGCAGCAGCAGGCGGCAGCACCTAGGGCAGCAGCAGGCGGTAGCTCCTAGGGAACCAGCACCTAGGGCGGCAGCAGCAGGCGGCACTTGCGTGCGGGCAGGGCAGGCGCGGGCAGGGCTAGCAGGGCAGGGCAGGGGCACGCGGGCGCTAGGCAGCGGGGCACGCACGGGCACAGGGCAGCGGGGCACTCGCGAGCGCTGGGCAGCGGGGCGCGCGCTGGCGCTGGGCAGCAGGGCGCGCGCTGGCGCTGGGCAGCAGGGCGCGCGCTGGCGCTGGGCAGCAGGGCACGCGCTGGCGCTGGGTAGCAGGGCGCGCACGGGCGCTGGGGAGCAGGGCGTGCGGGGCACGCTGGTAGCAGGGCGCGCGGGGCGCGCAGGGCAGCAGGGCGCGCGGGGCGCGCAGGGCAGCAGGGCGTGCGGGGCACGCGGGGCAGGTCAGCGCGATAGCGCTGGGCAGGGCAGGGCACGCGCGCGGCGAGCAGGGCAGCGCGGGCAGCAGCGCAGCACGCGCGGCAGCAGGGCAGCGCGCGGCGGGGCAGCGCGAGCAGCAGTGCAGCACGCGCGGCAGCAGGGCAGCGCGGAGCAGCGCGACCGCGCAGGGCAGGGCAGGGCAGGGAACGCGCGCGGCGAGCAAGGCAGCGCGCGACGGCAGCAGCTCCTGTGGCAGGAGTGACGGTGGGCCCTAAAAAAAACGGTCCTAGATCAGGACCTGCTCTGAAACCATGTCAGAATATACAGCGGAATGAGGTGCACTAGCATGAGTGAGGAGTACAAGTAGAGCTAACCCTAATGGGTTGTACTCAGTACAGTCTACCCCACTACAGCCTACACAACATATAAGTTGTTTTGACAGTGGAGTGCAAAAAAACAAGATGCAATCTTCAACAAACGAAGACCTGCCTGTACAAGGCCAAGCTGCGAACAAAACATGTCGTGATCACCAGGCGGGAGAACCTTGGTGAAGGTGTCCACAATGTTGGCCTCTGAGGCCACAAATACCAAGCGTGCGTGGCCGCGTCGTCGGAGCTCTTGCTGCAGGAAGTACCGCAGCTCGATGTGCTTCACTCTGCTCTCCGTTGAGGCTCTCGACACAGGAGGATCATGGCCTTGTTGTCAGCAAACAAGGTCGCTGCAGAGCTAGGCCGTTCACCTAGATCAGTGAGCAAGAAAGTTAGCCAGCTTAGCTCCTGAGCACCCATGGCACCGGCGTAGGTCTCGGCCTCAGCAATGGACGAAGCCACAGACAATGCTCGTGTCGACCTCCAGGCTGAAAAAATAGCCCTGTGTAGACCTGCGGGTCTCCTCGTCGTCCGCCCACGACGAGTCACTATGCCCGGTAAGTCGCACTGGCTGCCTCCCTCCAAGCACAAGCCCCATGCCTGATGTGGTCGCTAGGTACTTCGCTGTCGAGAAGTATAGTTAGGACGAGACTATCGCGCCCTGATATAAGACAGTGTCGAATTGAAGACAGGGGGTGTCTTTAAATAGGGTGTTTCTTATAGATGGGTGTTCTTGATTATAAGACACCTATATGCGCGTACGAGTTAAGACAGTGTCTTGTAAACAGACTAGGGTTTAGGGGTTATCTTATCAACAGGGGGGTATATACTAAACAATTCTTTTTGCATTAAGGGGGGTACATGCATACATTCATCAATTGGGTGGTTCTACCTAGTCCCCCTCGGTAACACCCTCCTCATCTGCACTAGCAGATGCAGGCTCCTGCACTCCCAAGTCTAGCACGCGTGCGTGGCCGTCTGCCTGGGCTCGATCATGCGGTCAGCCTCGGCCGCCCCTCCGCGGTAGTTGGGGGTCTCTTGGTACAGCACCTCCAGCCCAGTTGCCACGCCCACCTCCCTGACGCCCTCCGCCTGCAGCTCCTCCTCCTCCTCCTCCTCCTCCTCCTCCTCCTCCTCCTCCTCCTCCTCCTCCTCCCCCTCTGGAGCCTGCCCAAGCAGGTGCGTGTTATCGCCCGTGCTCCCCTCGAGGCACATGTCTTCTGAGACATCGGTGGTGCTCCTCGCGCGCAGGTGAGACATCACCAGGTGGTTCTTGCTCTCGTCGAGCTTGCTTGAGATCCCACAGTGGCAGAACACGTCGATGATGACCTTCGTGGAGACTTGATCCCACGCCACCGCAATCCAATGCAGCACCACGTGATGCGGAGGCCTCCTCAGATTCCGTGCGGGGGGGTGAGAGGCAGCGGCAAGGTTCCGTTAGGGACATCCAGGGGTAACTGGGGTTCAGTTTAAGATCATCAAACGTGTACTCACCGTGTTTCGTCTTCAGGTAGATGCCTTCACGCAGGAACCACCTGGCGTAGCGTGTGCGCACCGCGGCCTTGAAGCACCGGTTGATAGAGACGTCCAGGGGCTGAATTTGGCTGGTGCAGCCCGCATGGATTACGGCAGGGGTGATGCTTTGCGTGCGATAGGCTTGAAGCATGCCCTGGGTGATGTGGCCTCGGTGGGAATCCAACACCAGCATCGCCCGCCTCGCGTTTTGGCCGCGCTGGGGGTTGAGATGGGGCAGCACCTCCTTGGTCAGCCAAGTCTGCACTGCAGACTCGTCCATCCACTCGTTATTCTATGCTTGGACCACGACTCCTGCCAGGCACGGAGGGAGATGCAAGCGTCAGAGCCAACAAGCGGCGTTACAACACTCACGAACTCCTTCAAACAACACTCACGAACTCCTTCAAAAAAACCCAAGGCAGTGTTGCTTACTTTTGGGAACTTCACATCTCGGCACGTTCTTCATTTTGAACCAAACCCACGGGCGCAGCTTCTCCGGGATCCTGTGCACGCGAGCATCACTGTGAGCCGCGTCTTCTCGTATCCAGCCGTGCGGATCGGGACAGAGTGCGCGCCACGGTGGTCGAACGTCCTCTCAGAGGCGGCTCGGGGGCCTGACGGACCTGCAGGGGCGGCTCGAGGGCCGTACTAGCTTACAGGGGCGTCGCACTGGCCTAGGGCAGCAGGAGGCAGCGCGAGGGCTGCAGGACGGCACGCGGGCAGAACGAAGGGCGGGGCGCGCGAGGGCGCACTAGCAGAAAAAAGGGCGCACGAGGGCGCACGAGCAGAGAAAGGCGCACGAGGGCGCACATAAGGTAGGGCGCACGAGGGCGCCTCTAAGCGGAATAGTGGGCCCGTAGTAGAAAGCGGTCCTAGGTGGCAACCTAGGCTCGTGATACCATGTCAGAATGAACAAGGGTGGTTGAACTAACAAGATTGGGAGTACAAGTAGGAAACCCTGGAATGTTGTACCCCCTAAGGCTAAACCCACTATAGCCTACAGAATATAAACATATACAATGTTTGACACACCCCCATAGGCTAAGTGGGAGACAACCAGATGGTCACAAGACCAGTCAAAGCAAAACAAAGCAAAACAAGCTCAGGGTGGATCTCAAGGATACCACACAAATTCCGAGCACAAGCAAGCGGTCACAAGACCAGTTCACATGCAGTTTGATAATATAACAAGAGGTACAGTGATCACAACCTAGCAAGTGTAAGCATGCAGGTATATATATAGAGATCACAGTACAAGCAGAGTCAAGAAGTGAGCAAGTGAGGGACAGTAGGCACAAGGCCTAGAACAGTACAGAAACGCTGATGATCACAAGGCTGAAGCGCCTTGGTGAACACATCAGCAGTGTTGGCCCGAGTGGCCACGTAAGCAAGACGAAGCTGACCACGCTGCTGCAGCTCTCGAGCAAGGAAGTAGCGCAGAGCGATGTGCTTCGTTCTGTGCTCCAGTTTGTGCTCCTGACACAAGGCAATGGCGGCCTTGTTGTCGACGTACAGCACTGGAGGAGAACGAGGCCGCTCTCCCAGGTCGGTCAGCAGGTAGGTGAGCCAGCGTAACTCCTGTGCAGCCATGGCTGTGGCGTAGATCTCAGCCTCACAACTGGAGCTGAGAACTGAAGACGAGCGTGTAGAACGCCAAGAAACTGAACCAGAGCCAAGGCTGAAGGTGTAACCCTGAGACGACCGCTGCGTAGCCTGGTCGTCAGCCCAAGAAGCGTCTGAGTGCCCAGTGAGGACAACTCGAGCCTGTCCTCCAAGCACAAGCCCCATGCCCGACGTACTGCACAAGTAGCGCAACACCCTCTTAGCTGCATCCATGTGCTCCTTCCGGTGACGGCCAGGAGCGACATAGCGTGCTAGGATGCTAAGAGGGTATGCAAGGTCAGGTCGAGTGCAGGTCATCAGGTACATGAGGCAGCCCATAAGCTCTGGATACGGGCCACTCGGCTCTACGGACTCATCCGAAGGCAGAGCTGAGAGCGAGTGGCCAGTAGGCAGAGGAGTGGGCTGAGGCGAGGAGTACGTGAAGCGGAAGCGCTGAAGGACCTGCTGCAGCATGTGTGACTGAGTCAAGGTGATGGTGCGCTGTGCTCTGTCCCGGGTGATCCGCAAGCCAAGATAGCTTGTCAGCTCACCCAGGTCTGTGCACGTGTGTCTCTTATGCAGCTCCGACTTCACGTGGGCGAGTGCCTCAGTGTCAGCAGTAGCAAAGACCAAGTCGTCTACGTACACGAGAACGTAGAACGGCGGCAGAGTGGTGTCGGTGCGTAGAAACAGCGACGGGTCAGCAGTAGAAGGAGCAAACCCAAGAGCAGCAAGAGTAGTCCTCAGTGTGTCGTGCCACTCACGGGGTGCCTGGCGGAGACCGTAGACTGGCCGCCGGAGGCTCCACTGGGTACCAGGAGGGAACGACCCAGTGAAGCCAGGTGGGCGGCGCAGCCAGATCTCCTCGTGCAGGCTGCCCTGTAGGAACGCAGTGCTGAAGTCAAGAGAGTGGAGCTCGTAGTCACGCTGAGCGGCGACGTGCAGCAGAACCCGAAGAGTGGTCATCTTCGGGGTCGGGGAGAAGGTCTGGAAGAAGTCAACTCCCTCTCGCTGACTGAAGCCTCGTGCAACGTAACGCGCCTTGAAGACAGGCGGAGAACCCGGCGGCCGCTTCACCCTGAAAATCCACATGCCACTGACGATGTTCGCCCCTGGTGGGGGAACCTCGTCTACGTAGGTGCCTGTGGACTTCCAGGAAGCCATCTCTGCGTCCATGGCTGTCTGCCACTGAGAGGAGTAGGGACCCTCCATCGCCTCTGCGTAAGAGCGTGGGGTCGGGATGTCTGGTGCATCCGGGTCTCCCTCAGGGGCAATCAGCATGGACACGAGATGAGGTAAAGCAGCGGCAAAGCACTCAAACTCCTCCTGTCTGTCCTCAAGGACGTCCGTGCCAAGAGCACACTCACCCCCGACGGACGGAGGACAGATAGACTCAGACTCAACAACAAGGCTAGCGGCGTAGTCTAGACGACAGGCGGCAGCAAAGTCAACAAGCTCAGCGACTAGAGCAGTCGCAGTAGAGGACTCAAAGGAAGGGTCAGTGACAACAGTGGCAAGGAGACGTGTGACAGTAGGACTGGCAGCACGAAGAGAGTCAGACTCCGGGTCAGCAAGAGCAGGAAGAGAGGAGGCTGGAGGAGACGGCAGAGGGACACGCTGTGGAGCAGTGGAAGGACGCAGGGTCATATAGTGAGTGCCAAGGACAGGAGGAGGACGCTGACGCGGAGCACGACGACCAGCGCGGACAGCGCGGACAGGTGACTCTGGACGCGACTCAGACGACTCTGGACGAGACTCAGGCGACGGAGGACGAGACTCAGGCTCACGACGCTCCGTAAAACCTCCCGTCGGCTCAGCGTAAGGAGAAGGACCAGGCAGTGGAGAGGCTGGCTGTAACTGTGACTGCGACTGGACAGGCGGTGGACTCAGTAGGGGAGGAGTAGGACCAGGAGAGGGCGGGAGGCCAAGAACCTGCTGAAGGAGCGGAACGTAGTACGGCCGCGGCCGCTCAGCACCTCCTGAACCAGCAGAGACAGCACCAGGACCCTCAGCCCCAGGGTCTCCAGCTACAACTCCCGCAGCACCACCAGCAACCCCAGCAGCTCCAGGACCTCCAGCACGAGCACCTCCAGAACCAGCGGCTCCAGCAGCTCCAGCACCAGCAGTACCTCCAGTAGCTCCAGCACCAGCAGCACCTCCAGCAGCACCAGCAGCACCTCCAGCACTAGCAGCGTCTCCAGCAGCTCCAGCACCAGCAGCACCTCCAGCAGCACCACCAGGAGCTCCTGCGCCAGCAGTACCAGCTCCAGGGTCCGCAGCACCAGCAGCGGCTCCAGCTCCAGGGTCCTCAGCCCCAGCAGCAGCTCCAACTCCAGGGTCCGCGGCACCAGCAGCAGCTCCAACTCCAGGGTCCAAAGCACCAGCAGCGCCACTCCGGAGACTGCAGCGCCGAGCGTACCACTCTCGGAGCCGCTGGGGAGAGGGCGGCTCCCGCCTAGGCGGGGAACCACGAACACCAGCTCCAGCAGCACCCCTAGCCCCAGAAGCGCCCCTCTTGAGGCTGCAGTACCGCGAGTACCACTCACGCAGCTGCTGTGAAGAGGGAGCGCCTCCAGGCGCCGCACGGTCAGTCGCAGCACCCCCAGGCTCAGGACCCTCAGACGTAGCACTCTCAGGCTCAAGCACCCTCAGGCTCAGCACCCCCAGGCTCCGTACCCGCAGGCTCAGCACCCCCAGACTCAGCAACCTCAGGCTCAGCACCCCCAGGCTCTGCACCCCCAGGCTCCGCACGCTCAGGCTCAGCACCCCTAGCAGGACGAGAGTCGACAGCTACCTCGACAGGCTCAACCGGGTCTACCTGGGACACACCTGAGGGAGCGGCACCCTGAGGGGGGAGGGGGTCTACCACAGCAGCACCTGGTGCGAGGAAGAGAGGCGGGGGGGGGGGAGCGGGGCAGTGCGGTAGGGGAAGAGGCGGTAGTAGGGGACCGACTCGTCGAACGTGACGTCCTGAGAAGGCAGGACACGGCGCGAGGTGGCGTGGTAAAACTGCCAACCAGACACAAGGAAGACACAAGGAACAGCGCGGGAGGAGAGCTTGTCCGCGGACGTATCGCGAACAAAAGCTCGAGATCCCCAGACCCGGAAACGAGACACATCGCCAACCTCTCCCGTCCAATGCAGTGTCGGCGAAGTCTCCGGAACGGAGACACGGGGCCAGAGGTTGAGCTGATGCGCAGCGTATCGGACCGCAAACGGCCACAGAAAGTGGGGGGCAGCCGCATGGATCAAGGAGGTACGAGCGACCTCCATGACCAGGCCAATGCGGCGCTCAGAAACCCCATTCTGCTGTGGAGAGGCCGGAAGCGT